TGGGGCAGCCAGCGCGCCAGGCGCAGGTTTCTCCCCCCAACGCCCGAGCAGATTCGCAACGGCGAGCGCTCAAAACGCCTCTACCGCGTTTTCTCCGCAGGAGCTCGAGACTGAGTAAAATATCGCAGCTAAACCAGGCTGCTGCTCCAGGGGGTTTCTACATCACTCTGCAATGCTGCTCCAGGTCCCCCTCGAAACATCACCTCTAGGAGAAAGGCAGTAAACAGCAGGGTAACTGCAGAGACCTGACTTTTAGAAAGCAGCCATTCGGCCTGGAAATGGGTCGTGCCACTAGGTGTCACGTCAGTCCCACGCTGGCACAGCACCTCTGGGAGCTCGGGGACTCGTTGGCATCCAGCCCCTGCAGCTAGCTCTTCCCCAGCTCAGTCTGAACCTATCCCAGCAACAAACTATTAATCCAGTGCTGTAATTAGCGATGCCAAAAAAAAAAAAACAGCGCCTCCAACTAGGCCTCTATTTTTGCACCTATAATTATTTCTGCCTGCATGTAAGCATCAAGGCATCCCCTTTAGAAGGGTAAGTTCTTTCAAATAGTGCTTCGTAAGTATTGACTGTTTGAATTTGTTTAAACTTCACCTGACTGCATTTTATCAGCGAGGGTCTGGGCCTATGTTTTATGTCATCCTGTATTAACATGCAAAAACCTCACTGGTAAATTGCTAAATAGAGCAAAAAAAGACTTTTTTTCCTATTCTGCATGCACAGAGATGTCCCCAGGGTTCTTTTAGGTTTCATCACTGCAAGGAAAAGTTGTGATGGGACTTGTCCATAGTTGGCCAGCAAGCTCTCAGGGGCCCAAGAGCAGATGTCCTGCTTGCTAGCTTACTGGTTTTTTGTTTTTTTAAACCTGGGACTCCTTAGCAAGAGAAGACATTTCTTCATAAGAGTACTCTTGAAAGCTAGCATTACCTATTAAATGACCTAAATTAATAGGTAAGTGTCTGGCCTCCATCCACACCTGTTTGCTCTGGAAAGCTAATTCAAGTAACAACAGAACATGAATGCAAAGAGCAGTAGCTATGCCTCAGTAGGTCCATGTGTTGACAAGCCACCACAACCTTCTTTAATAACCAGGCTTTCCATTGTGGACTAGAGAATGCACAATCAATTCTGCCCTTCAAACACTGCAACAGTAATTGTTACTGGGCACAATACCCACAATTATGTAATCTCTTCAAAGACATTCATGTTATATGAGCAGACTTTTCATGTAATATGCTGTTCTTAAAAGGCTGTGCTTCAAGTGGGGCTTAACGTAACAACAGCCATGCATAACTGGGTGAGGTTAGCACACACAAAAAACAGGAGAGAGCAATCAAAAACGTTCTTTCAAGATGAAGAGGGCAGGCAGGACAGTAGCAAAGACCATCAGAAACCCTCTCTTACCACTTTCTCTCACTGCACACAAAATCCCGTCCCATTTCCCTCAAAGCTGCCAGAAACGTGCTTCAAAAATGCCAGCCCCCACATCAGTATTAGTCAGATCAGGTAGTGGAAATTAAAGTAATCTAAGCAGCTTCCACACTTCAGTATAGCATGACAAAACACAGGTATAGCATGTCAAAGACGACAACCTCAAGGGCAAAGACTTTTAAGGACAGTTTGAATTACAGTGTGGTGTAGTGGAAAACATGCACCCTAACGTAAGGGAGAGTACTTGTAACGTGAGGCCAGCAAGAGATGGAGTCAAGGACCAACCGGTGAAATTCAATGGCAACCAGCTCTCATCTGACTTCATTACAAGCCAGCAATACGGGGATTTGGTGGCAAGCAGAAAAAATTAAGAACAAATATTCGTCACATACAGAAGAGAAGGAAAAGGGCAATTTATCTTGCCAGTTTACCTTTTTGATGGTTCATTTTGAAGACAGGACTTAAACTTAGGCAGGAGAAAACCCAGTTCAACAGAACATTGGTTAGAGAGTTTGATCTTTAAATACAAACATTAAATATGGCATACATCATTTAACTTTTCAGTTTATTAGAGTGTAAAGATTAATAGACCAGAGAAAAGTTAAATATTTCATCAGCATCAGAGTGCAAACTTCCTGTAAGGAAATTTGAATTCCCTTGCTCTGACCCTTACCTGCCCCTCTACAGAACAAGGGAAAGAACATCTTTCCTCTTCAGTAGCACAATGCATGAACTGTGTGAGCCATGGTCAGGTAAGAGCCACAAGGTAAGACCTGGTTTGAATCCAGGCTAGGGCAACCAAAGCTGCAAGTTAACAGAACGGCAGTACTGATAAGGAACCTTAAACATGCACAGCCAAAGTGCTTTTACTCCTGCAAGACTCGCCTCCAAGGAATACAACATACATCGTGGAATAAAAGGTGACATCTCCTAGTTAGGAAAGGTGGCAAGATGTCTTTTTATTAGCCATCCTATTCCATAAAAACCAAAGGAAATGACTACAAAATTGAAATTTTTCCAAGTGGTGGCTTGTGCACATTCAATCTTAGGTTGAATTTTGCATTCAGACTACTAGGATTCATTCCAACTACACAGCTGCTCTTTGCAGTTAACAGGCAAATATCTGGAGTGCATTAGCTACACACACACAAATAAATGTTGAGGTTTTAAAACTTGCCAACTGCTAGGATCTGGGCAGCTCTATTCCTAACTCTTCTTCAGGCAGCTCCATATTTCCCCCACTCCACTCTATACAAAGCATCTTCCTGAAATGAGTCAAACTAGTTACTACCTTGTTACCTACAAACCCCCAACCCTACTTCCAGCAAGACCGCGCAACCACTAGTGCGCACCAAAAGCTTTCAAAATTTATTTGCTAGTTTTCCCCATTTCCAAAAGGGGACTTCTTTATTATGTACCTTTTCATTAAGTGAAGAGTCAAACCAAATAATTTTGTACAAGGTAACTATGCCATACTCAACTGTTTTCCTCCTAACAAGGCCCAAGACAATTGTTGACTGTTTCTGCAGCAGCAGATTTCCTACTCAGCTTTTGTTGTCCTCATGTTCCAGTCATCCATCTGAAACATCTAATTGCAACTGGAGAGTTGCATGGCTCAGTACTGCTTCAACCCTTGGCTTGTTTCACTTCTCATCTTTCATCACCTATTACTTTTCACCTGATCAAGTTATCCCACTAGAGAATTCCACACCATGGAAAAGACCAGAGTTGTATTTGCTAATACCAGATGGTTACTTTTCAAACTGGAGTTAATGAAACTTATTTTTAACCTAAGTTATCCTAGAAACGTAAAGTTTGCTTCTGAGTTACAAGTAGCAACTTAGTATAGATCGGAACCTTGGACCAACTTTATATTGAGGCAAGTGCTTAAACACACAGAAAACACTGATTGCAGGACAGACCAATCCTATGTGCCATCTGAGAAGTATAATGTTGTTTGGGAACGTGTAACCACTGTAATGAGTTGCAGAAACATCACATTTCATTTTTATCAGCAAAAAGCATTAATTTTAATTAGACTAATGTGTATGAAAACAGAGATTATTGCTTATCCAAGTTCAAAACAGCTTTGGCACTCAAATGCAAATTAAACTTTTGTGTTTGTTACCATTTCAAACTGGCAAAAACAGCTTACTCCTGTTCTGAACAAACAATACTGATTCCATGTTTATATAACTGCTCATCTAACAGTTCTTTTCAGATGTACTTGCATTGGTTTCTGCATCTACAAAACTGTAGTGAAGCAACTAGGCCACTCAGCTCAAGGTTACAAGGATGCAACGCAAATTCTCCCTCCAACTCGCTCATAAAGACAGGTTACCCTTACTATCCACCTCCCCAACCAGAGCAGCATTTTTGAAGTTTTTTTTTAAATCTAGGCAACACACCAAGTAACCAGATTTCTATTCTTCTTTCTATTCTATGCCTTAGCCACAACCTACTATTCTAATGTTTTCTCACAAAAGTACTACAGAGATTCTTTTTTTCCATATTCCAGTATTTTATTCTATCTTGACTTGTTTGTTCAATTGATCTATATAAAAAACAGTAACAACATTGCTCAAAAGTTCTTCTCCACTCCAATCAATAGCTGTCCTTCTTGGTCTTCTCCGATGCAGTTCACTGCTGAAATAAAATAAAGATAGTGAATTTACAGACACAGAAAGAACATGCAAAGTTCTCATCTAGGAAATAGCAAAGACAAGCTCTTACAAAATAGTACTGTTACAACAGTAGTAGGGAGCCAAACCTTACGGTTCAGGAAGAATTACTGGGGCGAGGGACAGACTGAACAGAGAGATGTTACCTGCTCGGCGAACTCAAGTCTTGATGCTTTCTTGGAATGAACGCGCTTTCTCCGAATTCCCCTTCGGCTTCAGTGTTGAATGTCCATCTTCCCTTCAGCCTGCCAAAGCAAATACGCATTAATAATAATATCAAGCAGAGAATTTACATTGCCACCCACCTCCCCCAACACAAGTCACATCATATACGAGGGTTTCACAAGCCATTCGCTGAACCCACCACATCACAGAAGCACAGTCTGGGAAAACTGTTCCAGGGCTGGCTGATGCCTTTGATATGCCAGCCAATGTATCATTTGATCCCTAAGCAGAGAGTTAACCACTTTGACATGGCTGCTTAGGAAGTGTGGGCTATGGGAAAAAGTTAATGGCAACAAGTAGGATGGCAAAGAAAGCTACAATTAAGTGAGCAACTTAATGAAGTCTAGGAAGATTCTCAATAGATGAACAACATATCAAGTCAGGGAATTCTGTTTCCCATCTTGCTTCCGTACCTACTAGCAAGACATGACTGCATGCCCAACTCTGATCTGTGGAACTGAAGTTGTGCCACAAGCCAAAGATTGCATAAGGCATGGGTTAATTTTTCCATCAGTTGACCAAAATTGCCAAAGGAATATTTCACAGGTACATTAGACTTTCAAATGAGCTCTCAACAAGAGGAAGGATGCGGACATGAGCAAAAGGAGTTACCTCGAATTACAGGACTATTTCCACATATGAACTAGCCAAGAGAGCAGCTTTCGTCTCAGAGGTTTCTGTTGGAGGCACAACACTTCTTTTCTCCAAGGACACTGCAGTTTCCATATGCTAGCAAAGAATTCTTAGAACTTGTAAGGCAATGACAAAGCTAGCTAATTACGGCAATTTACCTACCATCGAACACCGTGTCAAGCTAGTAACTAGTCCAGTTACCAAAGGACTGATTCTTTACTACAGCTTTTCAATGTCTGCTTTATTTTAAGGAAACATTGATTAACCTAAGCGGCCAGCTAGCATTCCCTTGACCTTTGCTGACTTAGGCTTTGAGTATTAGAATACCGTAAGGCATATACTTTCAATAGTCTGCCTCTAGACAAGTTTGACTATTCTTATGTGAAAGTATGTTGAAGGTATTCACATGTCAAGACTGGTAAAGATTAAATTCTAGCAACTGGTCAATAAATCTGGTTTGCTCTAATACTATCGCTAATCTTCTCCTCTGGCATCCTCTATTACTTAGTCTGTTCTTCATCTTCAAGGATTGTGTTGTGCAATGAAATGTAAATGTCAGGAGCAGAGTTCATTTCAGACGGTCTTTTAATAGGCTTCGTAAAGCCAAAGAAAACTGTATACAAGAATCCTTTACCACTTCAAATACAATATCAATGGAATATGCATATTTCTTCCAGTAAAAAAGGACAATATAAATAAACATTTTCAAGAACCTCTTTTATGGTAAGTTTGCAAGTCTATTTCTGGGTAATTTACATCATTACAACAGTAAAAATACCGTTATGCAAGTTGAACATACAAGCAAGTTTCTCTTTAGATATATCAAGGTGGTTTGCCTTCCAATTTGTACCCAGGCTGCATTCCTACCTTGCTACACTAAAGGAATGTTACAAAAGACGAAGGTAATGCACTTAAAAAAAAAAAAGTCCACAGCTTGTTCAGCTTCCAGTGAACATTGAATTAAAGGTCCTTTCTATCTCAAAAGAAACTGAATTGGGGCCCCAACTTCACAACTTTAAAAAAACACCTTGGCTCATCATGAAGGATAAAATAAAATCTGAAGTGCTTTCAAAAAAGATTAAAAACACTTGAAAGCAGAGCTTTCTTAAAGAAAAGTCTAATTAGACCATCTTATATCAGAAGCTGTCAGGCTGTGTTTGACAAGATTAGAACTGATAATACTACAAAAGTGAAAATACAAGTAGATGTACTACACAATAACGATTTCAGCGAAGCTCCAAAAATCTTTATAAATACAGCCATTGGAAGGACGATCTTGAGTCAGGAAGGATTTTTACTCGTTGTGTGTAGCTGAGGACAAGAAGCAGGCACAATTGTAAAGGCACTGAAGCATAGACAAGTTCCAGCATTTTACTCCCTTGCATTATTTCAGAAGCTAATGCTAGTTCGCTATGTCTTAAGAGAACTCCCCCACCCTTGATTAAAGTTTGTTAGGGCATCTGAGTTTTGTCTTAGTCTCAAGCTTGAGGAATGTAGTTAAAAACTTGCTTTGCCTTAGATCCAAGCAACTCCTACACATGCATTACAAATTAGAAATTTAAATGGCACAACCACGTCCGAGGCTTGACAGATTGGTTCTTACGGGCAAGAACAAAAATAGTGGTACAGTCCAACTGAGCCTTACAGTATTTCCAGACTTCAGTACAGGGTGAGAAGGTTTAGAGAGTTCCTACAGCAACATACTCGTCATTCCCATTTGAACTAAGACTTACCGTAACTGTCGTAGCTGTCTCTGTAGGATCCTCCTGAAGACCTGTCGCCGTAACCACCTTGACTCCTGCTGTTAAAAATACATTCACATGCATTATATTTGTTCATCTGTTCGTGGAGCCTCTTGACATGTGTCAAACAGGCAGCGGACTTCCAAGCAAGCGCTTTGCAAAAGAACCCCTATTTGCGGTGGGTTTACCTGCTATTATAGTAGTCTCTGGAGCCATTATATCCTCCACTTCTGGAATCAAACCTGCTTCCGCCATAGCCTCTGTCTCCACCTCCTTCAACAGATGCAAGGAGTTTATTTTAGCATGCTGAGAGCTACCATTATCCTATCAATAAGTACTGATCTTTTACATACGCTCACCTCTAGAGAAGCCACGGCCCCGACCTCTGCCTCCACGGAAAAAGCCTCTGCCCCCAGAAGACCCCCCTCTGTATCCACGAGATCTGTTCTCTGATGATTTTCCAGCCTGATCAACTCTGATCTGACGTCCATCTACAGACTAAAGTCGAAAGAAAAATAAACCAACTTGGTATTTCAATGTTGAACAACAAGCCTTTCGTTCAGCGTTACAACTAAGGTATAGCCCACTACAGAAGTAAATTAGTTTTCAAGCGCTTGTATGTGTTCCCTCTGAGTTTCTATCATTTCACTGAACAGGAACACGCTTTGCTGGCTCCTCTTATTCCTTGAGAGATCAGGAAAGAAATTCCAAAGTCTCCTTACCTTTCCGTTCATAGCCATCATTGCATCTTTAGCATCGTCTATGTTTTCAAAAGTAACAAAGCCAAAACCTCTGGATCTTTGAGTCTCTCTGTCTTTCACCACAACGACTACAAAGAAAAAAAAGAACATGAGCACCCAGGAAATCTAGAAAATTCATGGAAAACATCACAGCTAATTATGATGATCTTACCTTCAGAGATCTGTCCATATTTAGAGAAGACTTGTTCCAATGACTGCTCATTGGTGTCAAAACTCAGACCGCCAACAAAGAGCTTCCCCTCATCGGATGCCATTTTGTCCTGTAAAGTCAACGTACCCACCGTTAAACCAAGAAATATTTCCGCAAGGGCCAAAACATTGGATCAGCAGCCTAGCATTCTTAAACAACGCACGCTCATTCGGTTCAGCGAGCCACCGCTGCAAACCACAAAGGAGCACCCGAACGGAGGACCAAGTGCTTTCTCTTGGAAAAACCGAGCCACATCCAGGTTACGAAGGAGAGCACAGCTACCCACCACATCCGCCCTCACCCGGGGCCAAGCCACCTCCCCGGAGGCGCGCAGAGGGCTCGCCCGGCAC